CTGCGGAGAGGCCGGAAGCGTGAACGACTGGCGAATGCCCTCCCCACGACAAAAGTCCTGCAAGAGGATCGGAGGTGAACTCACCACCTCTGTCAGAATGCAGACGCAGGACGTGAAGGTCTGTGTCGAACCACTCGCGGAGCTACAGCGCAGATCCAAGGGATCAAAACATCAGGGACCTCCCCCTTGCTGCGCAAGGGGAAGATCGTGCTGTAACGCGAGTAGTCGTTAACAGCCAGCAGAAATTATCGCTCGCGGCCCTGTCCACGGACGCGGGCTGGGCCCCATACATCTATGTGGAGAGTCTGCAGGGAAGCACTCGTCGGGGGAAACGAGGAGGAGTGAGGAGCGGCGCGCTGCCGCCCCTCGACGCAAGGAAGGCAGGGAGGGGCAGGCGAGGGTGGGAGGGGAGGCGGAGACCTAGGAAGACTAGAGACAAGGAGACGGGAGTGCATGCCACGGAGGCGTGGCAGGGAGATGTGATCAAGGCGGTGGTGCCAAAGGAGAGTCTGGTGCGACAGGGCATGACACGAGCAAGGGGCTGCAAGCTGACTTGACGCGGATGCTGACGCAGCTACCTGAGGAGGCTCAGTATTCAGTGTATACAGACTCGACCCAGGTCGACGGGTGAACGTACAGATCGACACACGCTGACCCCCAGGAGTGGTGGTAGTGACCATCGCATCCTGGAGGGCAGCGGTACTCACCAGGTTCGTAGAGAACGAGGGGAGGTGAAGACCTGAGAGGGAGCCGGGCGGAACCCCTGGACACGGGAGAACAGTGGAGGAACGGGCAAGAACTGGGCCCCTTGAGGGGTCAGCCAGTCTGACAGCAACAGGTGCAGGGAGTGGTGTGACTGTGGTACTGTCGCGAAAAAAACAGCGGGAAGCACCTGAGTCAAGCGTGAAGGTTTGCAAGGCCTCAGCAGGTGCAGTACCAGAGAGAGCAGACTCACTAGCACCTAGAGCAACAGCCTCTATACCTAGGTCAGGCGGCACACACAGGTAACAGTCACCCTTAGCACTAACAGTCAATGCATACATGTCAGTAAGGATAGTATCATAGTGAAGAGCAAAGATATCCACACCCCGCCTAAGCAGCTCTAGCCAGCGGGGGAGCTCAGCCGCGTCGCCAAACTCTGCACGCCAGGCGTCGCTCAGACAGGAGAAGCAGAGGGACTGTGTGTGACCAACTGTCCCGCAAGTCTGACCAGCCCGATCACCTGTGTGAATGACGTACGGGCAGGGAGCACTACTTCGAGACGGCCCACGCTGAGCGAACCACTCACGAAGCTGCTGGGGCGTAAGGGTCTCGTGCGGATGCCGTTGCAGCTTCATCTGGCCACCACCAGAAACTCCCAGCGTGCAAAGTAAGGAGGTGTGCGACCAGCACGGCAGCACGCAGGGAAGGCAGGGCGGCGAGCAGGCACTAGGGTAGGTCGGGGTGGCGCACGGTCAGGGAAGGGCTGCGCGCGGCCAGAGCAGAGCGGCGCGCTGCAAGTAGGGCGACGCGCGGGCAGGGGAGGGCGCGCGGGCAGGGGAGTGCGCGCAGGCAGGCAAGGGCAGCGCACGGGCTACTGAGGGCGGCGCGCGGGCTGCCAGGGCGGACGCGACGGGCATGGGCAGGGCGAAGCGCGGGCAGTAGGGCGACACGCGGACTGGAGGGGCGGCGCGGGCAGGCAGGGGCGGCGCGCGGACAAGCAGGTGCGGCGCGCAGGCTAGGGCAGGGCGGACGGGCGACGCGGCGGGCTGGCAGCCCACACGGGAGACGCGACAGGTAGGGGCAGCCCGCACGGGCGATGCAACGGGCAGCAGGGGCGCACGAGCGGCGCGACACGACGGTCAGCAGGGGGCGCACGGCACGACGGGCAGCAGGGGCGCGCGACGCGACGGTCAGTATGGGCGCGCGACGCGACGGGCAGCAGGGGCGCGCGACGCGACGGGCAGGGCGTGCGCAGGGCGGCGCGACGTAGGGCAGGGCAAGGCGTGCGTGGGCAGCGTGACGCAGGGCAGGGCGTGCGCAGGGCGGCGCGACGCAAGGCAGGGCAAGGCGTGCGCGGGCAGCGCGATGCAGAGCAGGGCGTGCGCGGGGCGGCGCAACGCAGGGCAGGGCAGAGCGCGTGCTGGGCAGCGCTAAGCAGGGCATGGCAAGGCAGCGCGGCAGCCAGCAGGGCGGCACGCGGGCAGAGGAGCGCGACTGGTGGGGCAGCGCGACGGACAGGGTAGGGCGTTACGGGCAAGGTAATGCGCCATGGACAGGGAACTGTACGGTGGGCCCTAAAAAAAACGGTCCTGGGACAGGACCTGCTCTGAAACCATGTCAGAATCCTAAGCGCGGATGAATGAACTAGCAGCAGGATGGGTACAAGTACTAACCCCATATGGGCTACCCCACTACAGCCTACACAACATGCAACATATAAGTTTGACACCAAGATCCATCCGTGATAACCTGCCGACATGTTATCAAGGCTCGCGATAAGCGCGTGGCTGCCGAGGCAAACCAAGCCCGAATGCCTGCAGAACGGCCTTTTTGGCGACCAACATTTAACATGTCGCTGCGTTCCCAGTAATTTCTCATCCTAACAATCTGACACATCATTGATGCGCGCATCATCCAACTACGAGAAGTCGGATGAGCGCATCAGCTCGAATGGGGCAACTGAAAGCGTGTGGCGAAGGCGTCAGGTACGTGCTGTCTGACTTCTACGGAGCCCGCTTTCCTTCTCCAATTTCACGAAATCGGAGATTGAAATGTCCGCATGCCCAATTTCCAATTTCTCAATCCCCAAACCTCAATGTCCCAATTTCCGCATCAGGCCCAGCCTCAGGCGCATTAGAGCTGATGCGTCTGCAGAACGCAGCCTATAGTTGCACCACTCCCAAACCTGAGCTGGTTCCCGAGCCTAGATGCTGATGCTCCTGCCGAACATGGCCCCGATATATAGGGGCTGCGTTCTGCAGGCGCATCAGCTCTGATGCGTCTGAGGCTCGACCTGATCCGTACATTGAGAAATTGAAGTTCGGAAATTACGAATTGGAAATTGAGAAATTGAGGTTCGGACATTTAGAATTGGGGTTTGGAAAATATGACTAAATTGAATTGAGGTCAGGAAATTGGGCAGTCAATTTCCTGACGAATTTTAAAATTGCGAATGTTACAGGTTTCTCGAAAGCTTCTTGGTCGCTGAATTTCGGTTTGGCCAAACTGATTGGCCAATGAGGTTGCAGCGCATCAGCTGACGCGCGCATGATCCGATTTTTCGAAGTCGCGTGATGCGCGCATCAGTGATGCGCCCGATTGTTAAGATAGAAAGCTTCTTGGAACGCGGTCAGTTACAAATTTCGAAAGCCAAAAAGGCCGTTCTGCAGGCATTCGGGCAGCCATGCGCTTATCGCGAACCTTGATAACCTGTCGACAGATTATCATCTAAAAATCCTGGAACCATGGTAAAACGCATCAATGTAGATTGATGTGGGCTGATGCGCCTGCAGAACGCAGCCAGGTGTGGGGCTTCCGATTTGTTTGGGTGGTCGGTCTCCTAGGAGAAATTTCTATGAAAATTTCCACTCAGCGTTGCCTAGGCTGCCTATCGAACACTCCCTACGTTTTTCACGCTTAGCCATCAGTGTCTCTGAAAGCGGAAATTGTCATGGGTCAGACCCTGAATGGCTGTGTAAGACTCCAAGCTCCGTCAGCAAGTACAGAGCTCCGTCAGCAAGTACAGGTACTGTGTAGTTACGGCTCTTCTGTCAGGCCCTATTCGTGGCTCGTGCCAGAAGTCATTGCTTCGGAACCCCAAGTTCTGGTCTTTGGAAACTCGTTTCCCTGAGAACCAAGCCTCGGCTCCACCTCGGGTCTAACCTGATGTTTGACAAACGCGACGAATGAGCCCTCAGTCAACATTTGCTGACCCGTCCTTCGTCACAAACCCATACTAGTAGTACCTGCTACAGCGGGACTTGCTTCCTTGTTCATGACCACGGCGTGGGCCACGTTATTGGTCTCACCACGCTGACTCGACATATGCCAAGCGCCTGATCCTCGCCTTGTTTATCTGTAAGTGTGATCCTCATGAGGAATTATCAGAGGAAAGGGAGCCGCGCCATTGTGCGTATCTGGCGATTGCCGCTGCGGCAAAGAGCACCGTCCATGCGCAACGTTCCGACCTCTCCCACCTAACTTCTTCCGACCTCTCCCACCTAACTTCTTCCGACCTCTCCCTTCCGACCTCTCCCTTTCGACCTCCCCCTTCCGACCTCCCCTTCTTACGTCTCCCTTCCGACCTCTCTTCCGACCTCCCCTTACGTCTCCTCTCTTCCGACCTCCCCTTCTTACTCCCTTCCGACCTCAGACCTCCCCTTCTTACATCTCCCTTCCGACCTCTTTCTTCCCACCTCCCTTACCCGTCCAGTCCGACTCTGTCGTCACCATTCCACTATTGCTACTTGCTACTGCTAGTACCGTTTTATGTCGAGGCGTAGGACGCTTCTGGTACTACTAATAGTACTAGCAGTAGTAGCCGGCGCCACCATCCCAGGATTGTTGCGGTCTTAGACGAGTCAAAGCGCACGGCGCCAGCCGCTATTTCGCCCACTGCAAAGCCGATTCCGGCTGCCTGAGATGAAGCTCCAGCGATGCCACCAGCTTTCCCCCGTGCTCGCCATGACGCTCTGGCTTGTAGCCTTCAATGTCTCGTCGTGCCACGCGCAAGTGATCAATGCTTCTCAAGGTAGTCCTAGTACTACTAGTACCGCCCGCCCTCCCACTCACCCTCCTCACACCCTGTGACAGCTTTATAGGAAGAACTAATAGCTCGACGATACCCCGACTACTACATTACTTGTGAACTGGGAGGGAGGGAGAGGCAGTAGCGGTACCTCTCCCTCCATTCCTCCCTCTCCTCAGGCAGTACTCATAATGCTCCCTTCCTCCTCCCTCTATAACACCTGGGTCAAAACGAGGGTGTTATCTTGCGCAGCGGATTGCCCTTAACACAGCCCACAGGCGTTACGCCCTCCCTCCCCCACTCTCCAACCCTCATCCCTCCCTCTTCCACTCCCTCCCTCCCTCCCTCCTCCCTCTCTCCCAAACTCCCTCCCTCCCCTCCCCCCTCCCTCCCCCACACCCTTCCTCCCCTTCCCCCTCCCTCCCTCCCTCCCTCCCTCCCTCCCTCCCTCCCTCCCTCCCTCCCTCCCTCCCTTTCTCCCTCCCTCCCTCCCTCCCCCCTCCCTCACCCACACCCTCCCTCCCCTTCCCCCTCCCTCCCTCCCTCCCTCCCTTTCTCCCTCCCTCCCTCCCTCCCTCCCTCCCTCCCTCCCTCCCTCCCTCCCTCCTTTCCTCCCTCCCTCCCTCCCTCCCTCCCTCCCTCCCTCCCTCCCTCCCTCCCTCCCCCACTCCCTCCATCCCTCCCTCCCTCCCTCCCTCCCTCCCCCACACCCTCCCTCCCCTTCCCCCTCCCTCCCTCCCTCCCTCCCTTTCTCCCTCCCTCCCTCCCTCCCTCCCTCCCTCCCTCCCTCCCTACCTCCCTCCCTCCCTCCCTCCCTCCCTCCCTCCCTCCCCCACTCCCTCCCCTCCCTCCCTCCCTCCCTCCCTCCCTCCCTCCCTCCCTCCCTCCCTCCCTCCCTCCCTCCCTCCCTTTCTCCCTCCCTCCCTCCCTCCCTCCCTCCCTCCCTCCCTCCCTCCCCCACTCCCTCCCCCTCTCCTTCCCCGACGCATGCCTCGCAGCTTATGTGCTCATGCTACTCATGAGTGCTCACATCACTCATTTCCTTCCGCGTCTTTCTTATGCCCTCTCCTCTCTCCAACGCGTCAGCGTTGTTTCTCAGCGACATCCAGACGGAATGGGGCACGGGGTGGAAAGTGGGAGGCAAATGCAGCCCTGCGGCAGATATCAAGTGCGACGCTTCAGGCATGATTACCTCGTTGTGAGTCCACACCTCTTGACCACCCAAAATGTTCCCTCAAATTCGCGCTGGTATCTTGCACGAAAAGACGCTTCTTCCATGTCACACCATCTGCTGCCTGCCGCAGATGCTTCCTTCAGCTCTGAGCCCGACCTCGCCCACCTCTCGTTCCCTCGTAGCGTAGCATTGTTTCAGGTTCCTCTCTTGATGCTGTAACAATTCTTCTATTCCCCACGGCCTCTCGTCTTGCGTTACTCACCACCACTCAAATCAAGCGTGTGTTGCTTCACTTTCCTCCTCTCATGCCCACTTTTTTCATCACGTCCGCACACAAACGGTACACTCCCATACAGTCAATCCACTCATCTCTCCTTTTCAGACACGATCCACCCGCAGCAGCTCGACAGCTCCATTCCCGACAGCATCTCTGTGATCACAGCACTGACTTTGCTCCACCTGCATGCTGCTCTGCCCACTGGGTGCTGCATGCCATGTGCGCATCACTGCTGGCACTTCTCCACTGCCCATGCACTCTGCATGCCCACGCCTCCCCCCCTCTGCTGCCTACATCCCTTTGCCACTCCTCGATCGCCTGTGCTGCACCAACCTTCCGCTTGCCTCAATGCCTCAGCAGCAAAACTCACAACTGCCAGTACAAAATCTCAACCCTGAATCACTGTCCTCTACACTTGCCTTGCTCTAGCCCTTGTTAACTGACCTTGCCATCCAAGTTCCAGCCAACCTTTGCGGACAGGGATTTGAGCCTCTTGTCTAATCACGCCCAACTCACTCACCCCCACACAGGGATCTGAGCTATAACAATTTCACGGGCTCCATTTCTGACAGCATCTCTGCGCTCATGGCACTCAGAACGCTGTAAGAGGCACACTGGGTTTACTCCACCTGCGTGCTGCTCTGCCCACTGGGTGCTGCATGCCATGTGCGCATCACTGCTGACACTCCTCCACTGCCCATGCACTCTGCACGCCCACTCCTGCCACCCTCTGCAGTCTGCATCCTTTGCCACTTCTCGATCATCCCTGGTGTTCCAACATGCTATCGATAGTTCATTGGATTCGGATGTTCATTTCTCCGGCAGAACACGCAGTTGCTATTACGCAATTTTATACAGTTCCCTTGCTCTAGCCCTTGTGAATTTATTAAACTTTCCAGATTCTTGGCACCCTTTGTGCACAGTAATTCGAGCCTCTTATCTCATCACGCCCAAGTCTCTCAAACCCACACAGGGATCTTAGCTACAACAAGCTCACGGGCTCCATTCCAGACAGCATCTTTACGCTCACGGCACTGACAAAGCTGTAAAATCCACACTGGGTTTGCTCCACCTGCGTGCTGCTCTGCCCACTAGGTGTTGCATGCCATGTGTGCGTCATTGCTGACACTCCTCCACTGCCCATGCACTCTGCATTCCCACGCCTCCCCCCCTCTGCTGCCTGCATCTCTTTGCCACTCCTTGTTCCTCCCTTTTGCTGTACTTCATTGATTTCATGCATTTGCTGCTTCGAAAGAGTTTGCAACTGCCACTACACAGACTCAACCTAGGCAATCTCGTTCCTCTACAGTTACCTTGCCCTAGCCCTGCCGTACTGATTATGCCTTGAAAGTTCCAGCCACCCTCTGTGGACAGGCTCAGGTCATATGTTTTGTTTCGTTGCAGTGGTATGCTTGTGAGCAAGTGGAAGGGACTTGAAACAACATGGAAAAATGATAAGAGAATACCATGATAATTATCAGAGCGAACTCGGCCTACTCCAACATTCCTCACCACCTTCCGATTGAAAACGTGTGCGTGTATTCCTTTCCCTCCTGCCATGCTCTCTTTTCTCATCACGCCAAACCCATCTCTCTCAACCCCACACAGGGATCTTAGCAGTAACAAGCTCACGGGCTCCATTCCCGACAGCATCTCTGCGCTCACGGCGCTTAAAACGCTGTAAGAGGCACACTGGGTTTGCTCCACCTGCGTGCTGCTCTGCCCACTGGGTGCTGCATGCCATGTGCGCAAGACTGCTGCTGACACTCCTCCACTGCCCTGCACTCTGCATGCCCACGCCTCCCCCCCTCTGCTGCCTGCATCCCTTTGCCATTCCGTGTTCCTCCCTGCTGCTGTAAATCATTTACTTCATGCCTGTTTCAGAAGAGTTAGCAACTGCTACTACACAGTCTCAACCTTCACAATCTATGTTCCCTTGCCCTAGCCCTGCCGTACTGTACTGATTATGCCTTAAGAGTTTCAGCCATTCTCTGTGGACAGGCTCAGGCCGCATGTTTAGTTTCGTTGCAGTGGTGTGCTGGTGAGCAAGTGGAAGGGAGTTGAAGCTGGTTGGGCATGAGATGTATGTGGCATTCATTGCGAGACTCCCCAATCAGATTCATTGTGTGTTCCATGCACGGTGGTTTTTAGCATAGCACGTTGCAAGGTATGCATAATGTTACCACTAGAATGAGAGTCATCAAATCCTCCACGAAAGTCTTCCTACCATCAACTCACCCCTCTCGTTCCTCACCAACTCCAATTCAAGACGTTTGTCTTTCTTTCTTTCCTTCCTGCCATGCCCTCTTCACATCACACCCAACTCACTCAACCCCGACAGGGATCTTGGTTATAACCAGCTCACCGGTTCCATTCCCAACAGCATGTCTGCTCTCATGGCACTCCAATACCTGTAAGAGGCACACTGGGTTTGCTCCACCTGCGTGCTGCTCTGCCCACTGGGTGCTGCATGCCATGTCCACATCACTGCTGACACTCCTCCACTGCCCATGCACTCCGCATGCCCACGCCTCTCCCCCTCTGCTGCGTGAATTGCTTTGCCACTCGTCCCTACTCCACCAACCTTCTGTCCGTATGGATTCACATTGTTCTTTGCTTCAGCAGAACTAATAGTTTCCACTATAGTCTCAACTTTCACAATCTCACTCCTCTACAGTAGCCTTGGCCAAGCCCTTCCGAGCTGATTCTGCTTTGAGAATCTCATTCCAGCCACCCTCTGTGGACAGGCTCAGGCCACATGTTTAGTTTCGTTGCAGTGGTGTGCTGGTGAGCAAGTGGAAGGGAGTTGAAGCTGGTTGGGCTTGAGATGTCTGTGGCATTCATTGCAAGACTCCCCAATCACTTCTATCATGTGCTCCATACACTGCTGCTGTGCACGGTCGTTTTTAGCATAGCACGTTGGAAGGTATGCATAATGTTGCTACAATATGAGTGCCATCAATCAAATCCCACGAAAATCGGTTCATCATCATCTCACCCCTCGAGGTCCTCACCACCTTCAATTCATAACGTGTGCGTTCCTTTCTTTCTCTCCTACCACGCCCAACTCACTCAACCCCACACAGAAGTCTTTATAGTAACAATCTCATGGGCTCGATTCCCAACAGCATGTCTGCTCTCATGGCACTCCAATACCTGTAAGAGGCACACTGGGTTTGCTCCACCTACGTGCTGCTCTGCCCACTGGGTGCTGCATGCCATGTGCGCATCGCTGCTGGCACTCCTCCACTGCCCTGCACTCTGCATGCCCACGCCTCCCCCCCTCTGCTGCCTGCAGCCCTTTGCCACTCCTTGTTCCTCCCTGCTGCTTTACTTCATAAAATTCATGCTTTTGATACTTCAGAAAAGTTTGCAACTGCCCCTAAACAGTCTCAACCTAGGCAATCTCAGTCCTCTACAGTTGCCTTTCCCTAGCCCTGCCGTACTGATTATGCCTTGAGAGTATTAGCCAAGTATTATTTTCTGGATTTTGGCATAACACGTTGCAAGGTATGCAAAATGTTACTACAGGTATGAGTGTCATCAAATCCCACAAAAGTCGGCCCACCTTCATCTCATTCCTAGCGTTCCTCACCACCTTCCAATTTATAACGTGTGTGTGGGTGTGTCTTCTTTTCCTCCTGCCATGACATCTCTTCTCATCACGCCCAACCCACTTAACCGCACACAGGTATCTTAGCTATAACAAGCTGCCGGGTTCCATTCCTGACAGCATCTCTGCACTCACGGCACTGAAAGCACTGTAAGAGGCATTGTGGGTTTGCCCCACCTGCGTGCTGCTCTGCCCACTGGGCGCATCACTGCTGGCACTCCACCACTGCCCATGCACTTTGCATGCCCACACCTCCCCCCCTCTGCGTGCTGTATCCCTTTGCAACTCCTTGTTCCTCCCTGCTGCTGCAATTCACTGATTTCAGGCCTTAGTTGCTTCAGAAGAGTTCGTAACTTCCACTGCACAATCAAAACCTAGACAATCTCAGTCCTCTATTGTTGCCTTCCCCTGCTCTTCCAAACTGATCATGCGTTGAGATACCCAGCCCACTGAAGTCACATGTTTGGTTGAATGATGTGCTGGTGAACGAGTGGAAGAGAGTTGAAGCTGGTTGGGCTTGAGATGTCTGTGGCATTCATTGCGAGACTCCTCAATCATTTTTTTATCCTGTGCTCCATGCACTGCTCCTGTGCACTGTAGAATTTAGATAGCACATTTCAAGGTATGCACAGTATAACTACAAGTATGAGTGTCATCCAATCCCACGATAATCGCCTCATCATCATCTCACACCTCGCGATCCTTGCCAAGACGTGTGAGTTTCTTTCTTTCCCTCCTGGCACGCCCTCTCTTCTCATCACGCCCAACTCGATCTGTCCACACAGGGGACTTGGACGTGCCAATCTCACGGGCTCCATCCCCAACAGCATGTCTGCACTTGGGGCACTCGAATACCTGTAAGAGGCACACTGGTTTTGCTCCACCTGCGTGCTGCTCTGCCCACTGGGTGCTGCATGCCATGTGCGCAAGACTGCTGCTTGTACTCCTCCACTGCCCT